TTCTGAAGAAAACCCACTGTTCCATTATTACCAACAGAGTTATAGATACATTCCAACATTGAGATAGTAAGCGACATGTTTTTGACTCCCAAACATCATGGGGAGGCAAAATAATGGAATCTTTATATAACAATCAGTTATCTAATCCCAGAGAGAAATGTAGATAACTATAAAAGTTAATGTTTGGACATATTGGTATTTTCGTCATGCCAATAACAGTTTTATCTCATATCTGGAGCCGGGTGACCAATTAGGTCTTTGGGCCTTTTTCTATATTAGTTTTTCCCATTCCATCTGTACTGAGTTATTTCCAAAGGCTAATACATGTGTGCTGATGTGTGAAATTGATCAGTAGGTACAGTCAAGTCTTGATATAATTATGCAAGCGTTTTATATACTTTGTTGTTATAGCAAATCGTGAAATTATTTCATGTTTTAATCAGGAAATACTGAAACTTAACACTCCAGCATTAATTGGTATACCACTGGGTTCGTTAAATACCAGTACTCTAGAGTTACCATCACAGAATTGGTTGAATAAGAACAAAGCTATGACACAATGGCGCTGCTGATCACAATGTTGATCATGTCATAATTTGTTCAACTAGAGCAAAAAATGACATGCCAAATTCAAAAAGCCTTAAAATAAATTTCAGACTAAGATTATAACCTGTTATCCTTCAAATTATAACTTGTTATCCTTCAGGTTAATAATCTACAACACTATACACATTGTCTAATAATAGGATATGTATCTCATATCAGTTATACAGACAAGTTTTTTTAAAAATTATATTCCTTGATAATGTTGTGATGCTGTACCCTCTTCAGATTTGTAACCTTTATCTCTGTATATCCTCCCCAGCTAGTGTATCAGTCTGTGATACACTCAGAATTAGCCACACAGCTAGTTTGTCAGTCTTGGATAGCCTCAGACTAATTAACACAGCTAGTATGTCAGTCTGTCTGAGACCTATTCACACAGCTAGTGTGTTCCTCATACTGATTTACATAGCTATTGTGTCAGTCTGGGAAAGCCCCAGACTTATTTCACAGCTAAATATAAAGTATCAGTCTGTGATAGCCTCAGACTTTTTTCACAGCTAGTGTGTTAAGTCTGAGATAGACTCAGACTTATTCACACAGCTAGTGTGTCAGTCTGTGATAGCATCAGACTTATTCACACAGCTAGCTTGTCAGTCTGGGATAGACTCAGACTTATCCACACAGCTAGTTTGTCAGTCTGTGATAGACTCATACTTATTCACACAGCTAGTTTGTTAGTCTGGGATAGACTCATACTTATTCACACAGCTAGTTTGTCAGTCTGGGATAGACTCAGACTTATTCACACAGCTAGTGTGTCAGTCTGTGATAGACTCATACTTATTCACACAGCTAGTGTGTCAGTCTGGGATAGACTCAGACTTATTCACACAGCTAGTTTGTCAGTCTGGGATAGACTCATACTTATTCACACAGCTAGTGTGTCAGTCTGGGATAGACTCAGACTTATTCACACAGCTAGTGTGTCAGTCTGTGATAGCATCAGACTTATTCACACAGCTAGTTTGTCAGTCTGTGATACACACTCAGACTTATTCACACAGCTAGTGTGTCAGTCTCGGATATCCTCAGACTTATTTACACACCTAGTTTGTCGATCGGGGATAGCCTCAGACTTATTTACACAGCTAGTGTGTCAGTCTGTGATAGACTCAGACTTTTTCACAGAGCTAGAGTGTCAGTCTGTGGTAGATGCAGACTTATTCACACAGCTAGTGTGTCAGTCTGTGATACACGCCGTCTTATTCACACGGCTATACAGTTGTGGGATCGCACAACGTTACATGATGTGCGGTGTGCGCACGATGTGTGCACGAAGTACGAACGATAAAAAATTGGACGATCATTGCTTGCGCACATTTGTGCCGACAACGGGCGAATGTTGTGCGATAACAATCGTGGTTGGTGTAAATTGAGGAATGGCTTAACAATATATATGGTTTCGTGTTTAAACATATAAACTTGATTTTTATGTATGTTTCTATATTCTAGCTACATCTATAAGCTTATCTTTCTGTCTATGTTTTCTTATATTTAGAAATGGTGTTTTCAGTGTTTTTTAAACAATTAACCTATATCGACCCATGTAAAATAACAACACAGTCTCGGCAATACAGGTAAACATAGCCACTTTGTACCTGTACCTAGACCGTAGTTATCCCCCGCCCGGGCTACTTACGTAACTCGTCAAGGTGTGAAAACCAGGTGAAGGGGAGCTATAGACCAAATCGAATGCAAATAACAAATACTTAATGTTCAGTTGTGTTTTCATAACGGTCATACGGTATCACATATCAGCTCTATGTGTCAGGGACAGGCCAGGTAAAACTTTGGTCACTCATCAAATTGTTATTTACCTGTTCTGTTACCTAGAATTAGCTAAACCCATTCTTGACAGTCTAACGGTCACTGAAACACTGTGTAACACGCATTGTAAAATTGTACATAATCTTAATTACTGTGATGAGAAATTACAGTAATATATACAGTGTACATTATTGCATACGAGCCTCCATATGTTTTGCATTCCTTAATATTGATCAACAAATTGTACCAAATCGCACAGTTGTGCGGAGAAAAGTGCACAACGGGGCGAACGATTGTTAAATCGCACAGTTGTGCACACAAAGTGTGGACGATGTGCGGATGGTGTGTGAACGATGTATGCACGATGTGCGCACGGTATTTTTGGTGCGTTGTGCGGTCACACAACTGTAGTATGTCAGTCTGTGATAGACTCAGAATTATTTACACAACTAGTGTGTCAGTCTGTGATAGACTCAGACTTATTCCCAGCTAGTGTGTCAGTCTGTGATAGACTCAGACTTATTCCCACAGCTAGTGTGTCAGTCTGTGATAGACTCAGACTTATTCACACAGCTAGTGTGTCTGTCTGTGATAGACTCAGAATTATTCACACAGCTAGTGTGTTAGTCTGTGATAGACTCATACTTATTCACACAGCTAGTTTGTCAGTCTGGGATAGACTCATACTTATTCACACAGCTAGTGTGTCAGTCTGTGATACACGCCGTCTTATTCACACGGCTATACAGTTGTGGGATCGCACAACGTTACATGATGTGCGGTGTGCGCACGATGTGTGCACGAAGTACGAACGATAAAAAATTGGACGATCATTGCTTGCGCACATTTGTGCCGACAACGGGCGAATGTTGTGCGATAACAATCGTGGTTGGTGTAAATTGAGGAATGGCTTAACAATATATATGGTTTCGTGTTTAAACATATAAACTTGATTTTTATGTATGTTTCTATATTCTAGCTACATCTATAAGCTTATCTTTCTGTCTATGTTTTCTTATATTTAGAAATGGTGTTTTCAGTGTTTTTTAAACAATTAACCTATATCGACCCATGTAAAATAACAACACAGTCTCGGCAATACAGGTAAACATAGCCACTTTGTACCTGTACCTAGACCGTAGTTATCCCCCGCCCGGGCTACTTACGTAACTCGTCAAGGTGTGAAAACCAGGTGAAGGGGAGCTATAGACCAAATCGAATGCAAATAACAAATACTTAATGTTCAGTTGTGTTTTCATAACGGTCATACGGTATCACATATCAGCTCTATGTGTCAGGGACAGGCCAGGTAAAACTTTGGTCACTCATCAAATTGTTATTTACCTGTTCTGTTACCTAGAATTAGCTAAACCCATTATTGACAGTCTAACGGTCACTGAAACACTGTGTAACACGCATTGTAAAATTGTACATAATCTTAATTACTGTGATGAGAAATTACAGTAATATATACAGTGTACATTATTGCATACGAGCCTCCATATGTTTTGCATTCCTTAATATTGATCAACAAATTGTACCAAATCGCACAGTTGTGCGGAGAAAAGTGCACAACGGGGCGAACGATTGTTAAATCGCACAGTTGTGCACACAATGTGTGGACGATGTGCGGATGGTGTGTGAACGATGTATGCACGATGTGCGCACGGTATTTTTGGTGCGTTGTGCGGTCACACAACTGTAGTATGTCAGTCTGTGATAGACTCAGAATCATTTACACAACTAGTGTGTCAGTCTGTGATAGACTCAGACTTATTCCCACAGCTAGTTTGTCAGTCTGGGATAGACTCAGACATATTCCCACAGCTAGTGTGTCAGTCTGTGATAGACTCAGACTTATTCACACAGCTAGTTTGTCAGTCTGTGATAGACTCAGACTTATTCACACAGCTAGTTGTCAGTCTGTGATAGACTCAGACTTATTCCCACAGCTAGTGTGTCAGTCTGTGATAGACTCAGACTTATTCACAGCTAGTTTCAAAAGTCTCAGACCTTTCAGAATTAGTTATCTCTTAAAATTACAAGTTTTACTTTGTAAATAGAAGGGATAAAACATTAATCAGCAATGTATTGCTCCAAAATGAAATGTCTAGACCAATTGTGTTTTAATACTGCTTCAGTGACAATACTGTTCCACTGTTGATATATCAAATGCTATTTTCACTTTATATATTGCTTATTTCTAAAAAAAAAAAAAATATTGTCAGAGATTGATTTGTACGTTAGCCAAGCCATATTATATCTGATAAAGTTCCATGTGAAGGAAAATATTGGTAGAGAAACTATTAACAGGATATGGCCATTCAAACTGAATGCGAAAGGTCATTTTCGATGGAAAGGATTTCCTGCAAAATGCCAAATACTCATCATAAATGAGTTAATTGTATTGGTAAACTATGTATCAATTAACTTCATTGTAACAATCAATACATTTATATTGCAATTTTGAGAAATAAATTACCCTTCCATTACTTAAGCGATGTTAAATCACATTTATTCACAATGTTTTGACTTCTTACAATGAAATAAAAACTAGAAAACTACATATAATAAACGGTAACTTTTCCGTGGTAAAACTCTACAAAGTTGTTTGGTTGTGTTTGTAGGGGTTCGAGGGCTACCTGAATGTGGATCTGGATAGTGACCAAGTTGTTGTCCTGTATGACAAGCTACCATCTTTGACCTTTACCACAGTTGTCAGCAATGTGACTGGTGTACTCAAGCTACAGGTAAGGAAGTGTGAAATATGAGAAACATTTTTTTCTAAAATCCAAATTTCAAATCTCAACACTTCCTCAGGAAGTTTTATACATACAGTATGCCATTCACACACTACACACAAATGCACAAATATTTCCACTGTAGACCTGACCTTCCTAAAAAATTACAACTTCACATATTAGACATATTTTTAGTACAAGAACATCTGTCCTTCCTACACTAGAACACCATCCCACACTAAAACACCATCCCACACTAAAACACCATTCCACCATTCCACACTAAAACACCATCCCACACTAGAACACCATCCCACACTAGAACACCATCCCACACTAAAACACCATCCCACACTAAAACTCCATTCCACAATAAAACACCATCCCACACTAAAACACCATCCTACACTAAAACACCATTTCACACTAAAACTCCATTCCACACTAAAACACCATCCCACACTAAAACACCATCCCACACTAAAACTCCATTCCACACTAAAACACCATCCCACACTAAAACACCATCCCACACTAAAACTCCATTCCACAATAAAACACCATCCCACACTAAAACACCATCCTACACTAAAACACCATTTCACACTAAATTACCATCCCACACTAAAACTCCATTCCACACTAAAACACCATCCCACACTAAAACACCATCCCGATATGGAAAGACTTTCCCCACTTAAACACCATTCCATACTGGACCACCTTCCCACATGTAAACGGCATCCCACACTCGACCACCTTCCCACACAAAAGGCTTCCAACATTCGACCACCTTCCCATACTTAAACGGCCTCCCACATTGGAGCATCTTCTAATACTGGAACTGCTTCCTATGCTTAAACAGCGGCTCCCACACTGGACCACCTTCCCCTACTGGAACTGCTTCCTATGCTTAAACAGCACCTCCCACAATGGACTACCTTCCCATACTGGAACTGCTTCCTATGCTTAAACAGCACCTCCCATACTGGACCACCTTCCCCTACTGGAATTGCTTCCTATGCTTAAACCGCACCTCCCTCACTGGACTATCTTCCCATACTGGAACTTCTTCCTATGCCTAAACAGCACCTCCCCCACTGGACCACCTTCACCTACTGGAACTGCTTTCTATGCTTAAACAGCCCCTCCCACACTGGACCTCCTTCCCCTACTGGAATTGCTTCCTATGCTTAAACCGCACCTCCCTCACTGGACTATCTTCCCCTACTGGAATTGCTTCCTATGCTTAAACAGCACCTCCCACACTGGACCACCTTCCCATTCTGGAACTGCTTCCTACACTTAAACAGCGGCTCCCACACTGGACCACCTTCCCCTACTGGAACTGCTTCCTATGCTTAAACAGCACCTCCCACACTGGACCACCTTCCCATACTGGAACTGCTTCCTACACTTAAACAGCACCTCCCACACTGGACTACCTTCCCATTCTGGAACTGCTTCCTACGCTTAAACAGCACCTCCCACACTGGACCACCTTCCCCTACTGGAACTGCTTCCTATGCTGAAACAGCGGCTCCCACACTGGACCACCTTCCCCTACTGGAACTTCTTCCTATGCTTAAACAGCACCTCCCACACTGGACCACCTTCCCCTACTGGAACTGCTTCCTATGCTTAAACAGCATCTCCCACACTGGACTACCTTCCCATACTGGAACTGCTTGCTACGCTTAAACAGCACCTCCCACACTGGACCACCTTCCCCTACTGGAAGTGCTTCCTATGCGTAAACAGCACCTCCCATACTGGACCACCTTCCCCTACTGGAACTGCTTCCTATGCTTAAACAGCATCTCCCACACTGGACTACCTTCCCATACTGGAACTGCTTGCTACGCTTAAACAGCACCTCCCACACTGGACCACCTTCCCCTACTGGAACTGCTTCCTACGCTTAAACAGCATCTCCCACACTGGACCACCTTCCCCTTCCCACACTTAAACAGCCTATCTCCCACACTGAAGTACCTCCTAGAATAAATACCAACACTAAGACAGCTTCCCACACTGGACCACCTTCCCACACAAAAACACTTTCCCACACTGGAGCAAATTCTGCTTAGATACAAAGGCACCTTCTTATAAAGACATTCCTACACAGAAATATCTTCCTGAATATCAAAATAATCTAGCTTCCTTTACAGAAATATCGTCCTGCACCAGAACACTCTCCCACGCTGAAGCCACCTTCCTACCTATATCTTGGAATATCTTCAATGAAGATGATTATGAAATATATTGCAGAAGAAAAATGATGTTGCACTAACAAAATATGACTTTTGGTTACTTGGGAGACGTCTGCAATAGATTAACTTGGCTGTTGATGACGACTTTTACTGAAACAGATGACTGCGACTTAAGAAATATTAATATTTCAGTTTTAAACTTTAATATCCATTTGTCTCAATAATACCTTTAAACTTACTTTTATCAGAACAATCCTTCTCTGGTTTGAGTGAAGTCCGGAAGACCAGGAAGTTCCATGAGCTATCTGTATGAAAGATAATATTGACATGTCATTGAGAGTTATTTTGCTTGAATGTTAAAAGTGCTGAAACCAAGAGTTAAAGGAATGATGTCTTTGTTTAAGCCACCAGGCACGCAAACATTAAGGTGTCAGACATCAAACATCCATACATGTTAACTAACGCATTAAGCTTTTTATCTTGAGATAAATGAACGGAGATTAGAAGATTGCCTAGATAAGGTTTGACGAATTGATGCATGTTACAAATACTATTGAACTACTTACATGTTTACCTCATGGTTCCGCATGAAAACAGACCGATGACAGCCATTGCTTGGTTCCTTCATCATACGGAAGCATGAACATATTCAGGATACATCTTATCTAGTTTAATGTACCATACAACAATCGAATGCTGACAAATTTCTTACTCCATTGATGCACATTCAAATTTCCGTTTCTGTCAAGTAAACAGTGGCAGCTTTGTTCTGGAGCATTCCACAGTGCACTCCTGAAGCAGTGAGCCAGTAGTGCGTACATAATGCCCTCTATGAAACAGAATTAAATGTTTGAACAGCTACTCAGATTAATTGACAAAAAGGCTATCAAACGAAACAATAGTGTTGTTGACTGTATATTTTCTTAATTTACTTAAATATTGATGTAATTCGCTGGAACTATATTATCCTAGCAACCACAGCCACCCGTTGTTAGCTGTGGTTAACCGTTGTAGCAACCCACTCTGTTTTACCTTCGTGCAGGATTAAAACAATTTTCAGGATGCTAATATAATGATTGACCTTCATTTTGACAGCAAACATGGAAGCTAAAGAAACAATAATTATAGTCTTTGTATATGGCTGTTAGCTTGACCTTATATCATACTCTGATCACAGGTCAATTATGTTAAAACACTCAAATAGATTCTTCTGAAAAACCAAAAGCATTAGAGTCATGATATATGTATAGTTGATAGCTGTTGAACATAGTGTACCTATGAAGATTAAGAAAAGATCGAACTTTACCTATATTCAAGGTCACAGCTGGGGTCAGATCAGTTGAATCACTTAAACAGCTTCTTCTGAGGCACTAGGAGGTCTTGAGACATGGCTAGTATAGATTGCTTGCCTAGAGTACCACCAAGTCTGAGGAAGGAAATGACCTTGACTTGTACACAAGGTCACAGGGTCAAATATTTTATACATTCAATATACCAGAAACTTCTCTTTGTAAAGAAGTTAAAAAAACAGGTGTCAAATGTAGCCAGTTGCATGCAGTGGAATTCATAAAAGGATTTTTTTTGACCCATAATCAAGGTTACAATTGTCAAATTAGTTTAAACCCTCAAACGGCTTCTTCTGAAACTCCAAAAGTCCTAAAGTCATGAAATTTTGCTTGTGGTTAACTGGCAGTAAGTACTACAATGTACAAAGTTTAAGGAACAAAAGGACTCAAATGACTTTTGTTTCAGAACAACAAGTCCTGAAGACATTATAGTTGACCATTATAAGCTTACTGTAACGTGTTGCTATGGAATTTGTAATGGCTATTGTCTGTATATATATAACTTTGATAGAAAGTTCAAGTCTTGGGTACACTAATTCACATAATTAGTAAGAATAGATAATCATAAAATAATGTAACTATGAACTATAAAGGGGAATAACTCTGACATATATTTTACACCATAGAATTAACGGTACCATTTTGATGTTGCTGTATTTTATGGACCCAATGACAGTTACCTACATGTACATGGAAACAAATTTACAGATCTGTTTGGCTGTATATTCAGAAAATGTTTGAATAAGTTTCTCATATGAAGATTTAAAAAACCTTATAATCATATAAAAAAAAATCATTCATACTAAATCCTTTTATGCAAGTACATGTTTTAATTCTTGACATTTATATCAACCACCAGACTTGTTTTAATGGGTTGTGTTACCCACACCAACACTTGTGGGCTGGGTTGTTTGTGCTGATGATTCTGTTTATCTTCCAATCTATCACCACTTATAGCCTCTTCTTGTTTCTATAGATGTTAGCTGTAGAGTCCCGATTGCCTCCTACATTTCAACATCAAATCAAAATATTCATTCAATACAGTAAATACGGGATCAGACAATATGTCTGAGAACTTCAGGAAGCAATTTCATTGAGTAAATTCTGATAAAATGTTGATAAAACTAAAAAAGCATTCTTTTCAAATTTGTATCACAGTTAATTTAAAGAAGCAAACATTCGTTTATTTGCTTGGATTTTTTTTCTCTCAATTTCTTGGAACTTTTATCAAATTCTATTGGAGATTCCTCCTTTCTGATAGAAGTACTGAGTGAATGAATATGAATCAACCAGGATCAGGACATTCAAACTTGTGACACACAAACTTGTGTGCACTGAACAAGCTACAGTGTATAACCTATGTAGGAGTACAAACCAGTTCACCCGGGAATTGATATTGAGTTGTGTCATATTTGAAAAAAAAACATTAAAACATCTGGAAGAAAACTCAATCTAAAAATAAACTGTGATTTAGGAATTGAAGGAATTTTAAAAATAAGCCTATCCCCTGTATTGGATTACATAGTACTTTTGTATTTTTAAAAGTAAGAAATGTGTAGGAGAAACTAACACATAATAAGTCAACTCTGAACACAACTTCATTCACAGAAATGCCTTGTTGTGTCTCTGGGTTAAGTCAAGAGGAGGTTACAAGGCAGCATTGCATCTTCCATCACATCATCTGTTAAGTGGGTACTTGTGCTGGATAGTTAATCATTTTGATTAACCACTTTAAATTGGGCTGGCTGTTCACATTTTCCTTTGGGAAGAAACATTGAAATGTGAATTGGTTAACAGGTATGTTGAGAGCACACACTAACAGTGGTCTGGAAACAATCTCCAGTGACAGACATAACACTTTACACAAGTAAAAAAACTACATTGTGAAGGTCTAGTTGCTCATTATTATAAAGCTGTTACATTTTCTATTTGTTTTGTTGAATATAATGGACCGATACTGGGGCAAACCTGGACTGGTGAGATCCTATGTGACTTGATTGGTAGCTCATCTGGCAGATTATCTGTCCAAAGTTCAGAGGTTCTGGGTTTGAATTCCAGTTTGTCCAATTGCATTACAAGCTGGTGTCTATGCATGACCACCTTTTTGTTACAAGAAATAATCAGCTACAGAAATTACAGTAACGGCTGGACAGATTAAATAAAAGAATAATACATGTGTGCTTGGCAAAGGGATAGCAGATCCTGGGTTGTACATGGAGATGTCTTCAGGGTCTAAGACAATGGGTGTTTAGGACCAAATGCTTGTAAGGAAAAGGAAAGAAATGAAGGAGAAGCAGGTATGGAAAAGGAGGGAAAAATGAAGATGATGTGGACAGTAGGTCAACCACCAGTAGACAGACAGCTAGTGTGGTTAAAACATAGATCTTGGAGGTTCTGGGGTCAAAACCAAGTAACTTTACCCTCAAAATGCTTTTCTAGATCATTGATAAATAATTCTAACGTGATATCAATTGAATGGTCTAACCACAAAAGAAAATTGAATTAAATTTCATCTCATCTGTACTTGTAAACAGGATCTGGCCAGTAGCAGTGTGGAGCTAGTCGCAGGACAGAAACCGCAGCCTGTACATCTGATGTCCGTGATGCTGACCGTTCAAGGTCGGTCATTTCTGCTGCAATATACCTTTCTTAATTACTGTAAAGTACTGTGAATCTTTCTGTTTGCATAAAACATTTACATGATTATGAAAAATGATTTATTCGCAAATATTTGAATTCACAAAATGAACAATAACAGGTTTGTTTATGGATATTTACGACATTTGACTCTCCATATTAATTAACCTGAAAATATATAAATCACTCCCAATGTGAGCAGTTTACAATAACCAATGCAAGCTAGTTAGGTCTTGTTTAGTGTGTGAAGGGAAGCAACCTCAGAAAGAAACTATACTTTTCTGACCATAATTAATCTACTAGTGTAAAGCCAACATACAATTGTCATCCCTGATTTGATTCATTGAAATTGGTCAGATTTGTTCTGCGTCTAGAGTGATAATTTTGGGTTTAGACCAAGCTATTGCTCATGCAACTCTTTCTCATCAATATAGCCTATCATGTGGAGAGTACATCAGTTGCCAGTGGAATTTGGTTATTTCATGTTAAGAACTATCAAACTAACTTTCCAAACTGACATTACATGTTAAGAACAATCAAACTAACTTTCTAAACTGACATTATATGTTAAGAACAATCAAACTAACTTTCCAAACTGACATTACATGTTAAGAACAATCAACTAACTTTCCAAATTGACATTACATGTTAAGAACAATCAATTAACTTTCCAAACTGACATTTTATGTTAAGAACAATCAATTAACTTTCCAAACTGACATTTTATGTTAAGAACAAGCTTTTCAAAAAAACATGGGATATTAAATTCTTTTTTACCTGGTGTCCTAATGGAGGAGATTGTTGAATTTCTTAAAGTGCAGTGTCATTTTTAATACAGACTTCAGCTAACCAAGGTATATGCAGTAATTTTTAATAATTTTCTCAGGCAGATCGGGATTACTGAGCTTTTATTAATCAATACATTTTACACTGGTTTATTGTAAACAAAGTTTGATGTTTGAGCTGATATAATGGTTGTTAAACTGTCATACCAGGAGTTAAAAACAGAAATCATGGCTGTTGACAGGAATGGACTCTTTGAAGGATCACCTCCCTGCACAACAAAAAATGAACAGGTTCTGGAAGAAGACGCGAGCCTCAATGGATTCTAAACTTAGACAGGAGTCGGAGAAATATGGAGATATATTGTTTGTGAATGTCACAGATGTCTACAGAAATCTACCAACTAAACTTCTACTGTTTCATCAGTGGTAATATATTTATTTACATTGTCTGGTTTATTTTGCCTGACATGTTTTATTTAAATATCACCGTTTGTTTCACCAATAATACATACCTACTCAACTATTTCACCAATGTACAAATATTTACCTATCTGAATGTTTCAATCAAGTTTAAAATTTCTGATTGTTTCACCAATTAAGGGATAAGCCTCCTACATTCACAAATTGAGTTTTGTGGCAACAAGGAGAGGAGCTGGAAAAACGGATACAAAGTATTTTCACACTATAATGACGCAAATCTCAAACCTCCAGTAGAGTGATCCGATTCTAATTTATATAAGCTCAAACCGTGATAAAATGATATGGTATCTTTTAGCATTTTTAGAAGTCTCGGTCAATGTGTCATGGATTAATGCTCAGTCACATCAGTTAAGCATTTAAAGTGAAGAGGTCATTCATGACATTGACCTTTCGGAATAACACTATTGTTTCTGACATCATTAATAATCCATTTCGTGATGTTTTAGGACAAACTGGGGTTATCGATGTCAAAAACAAATACCATCAGGGTTTCATATGCAAAGGAGAAAATTGTTGAAGGCATATCATGATTACACCATCACAAATTAGTTTGATTGACCAATCAAATGCTACATTACATCTCAGATAAATAAATATTGATCAGAATGTTGTACTGATGGTTATGTAGTCGTGTGCTGTTTAGAAGTGTACATGTATGTGTTGTTACGTAAACAAATTGGTTGTTGAGAGGATTTTACCTCACCTGGCCTAAAAGGTGTAGTATTCATCCATTTGTCATTAACTTTTTGCTTCAAATGACTTTTCGGTATCAAGAAGGTCTAGGGTGATGAGATGTGGCCGGGAGCATGCTCAGATGAAGGGCTATCAACTTTGTTCAGATGAATGACCTTCACCCAAAGGGTTAACATTGTAATATTGATATTTTTTCCAGGCTTTACAACCATTTCAATGCCAGCAATGTTCTGAAAACAGATGACGACTGTTTCGTTAATATTGGGAGTGTATTGTCATATCTAGATCAGATAAAAATAAAGGACAGAGAAACCTGGTGGGGCAGGTAAGTATGATTATACTCTATGATGTGAACTATTAGTTCCTAGAACATTGATATATCTCCATAGTGTCACGTGATATGATACACTCTGATTTTCATATCAAAGATATGCAAGAAATATAATTATGTAAAAATATCAATAGCAGAGTGTTCATTTATGTGGTTATAAGTCAGAAGAGCTGTGTATCCCTTATGATATAGCAAAACATACGACTAAATGTTTAAGTATGAAGGTATGCATTTAGCCAATGGAAAACAGAATGTACCATTCAATAGTAGGTAACTCATTCGGTTAATTTGATGATTTTTTATGTGCATATTATGTACACCCTCACATGTATAGAGTGGGATGCTGTATAAATATGTTGTGGTACTGTATGACATATGCAGCTATATATATAGAAACCACAGTTGTTGTTTTTTGCGTGATTTCATGAATAAGATAGATAAAGTTAGGTATGTTGCTTTAAAGAAAACCAAGGGGTACAAACATAAAAGTGTTGGGTCCGAAAGGTAAAATATATCGTGTAAGAACCAGTTATATCAGGCTATACTTGGTTGTAGTTTCCGAGATCAGTGGTTGGTGGAACAGTGGGGGAAGTGGAGGGAACTAACCTACACTGCAGATGTGTACCCCAGGTTTGCCTGTGGGGTTGGCAATTTGGTGTCCAGGGGCATTCATACCTGGTTAGGACAAAATGGCAATTATTTAAAAGCATACCAGGTAAGTTGTCGGACTAGACTCCGTGTCGCTAGCTGAAATAATATACGTATCTAACATGATATGCTGCAATAGATTATACTATACTTAACTTTTAATGCATATGCATACTTTTAATCTATTGATGGCCATGCATGCTCAGTGTGTCATGTTATAGAAATCACCATCCAAGGCTTATTATTATTTTTATTTCAAATAGGTCTTAATTGCCTTGAGACAAGGAGCACAAGTCAAAGTCCATGTAGCGTATCAAGTCATTTATGTATCAGTTTGAACTAAGGTTACTGTAATTAGCAAATCTGAAAAGACAATGTTTTCAGGAACAAATAAGGGTGAAAAAAGAGTCTGTACTTCTTAATATTTATCGACTGTGTACATGATCAGTTTCCAATGTAAGGGAAGTAACTCCCATATATATGTACATGTACTGTTTTGGCAGGGAGAAGACGTGTCAATGGGAGTATGGATGTCAGCGACCACACTGAGCTATATAAAGGTATAACATGACTTGCAATGCGAACTTTTATAAACAATTATAAATAAAGTTGTGTTTCAGTCCAGTTCCAATATACTGACCTGTCTAACCTGTTCAGTGATGTTCTGCAGGATTTTTGGGACCTTGGTATGGTGATTTCAAACTATTATGGTTGCAATTGAAATTTGAATGGGTATAGTCTTTTAAAGATTTGACATTTCTCTTATAGGCCTCTGCATCTCTGCTACTAAGAGATCACGTCCTTCATTTATAAAACATTGAACTACATTTGCCCAGAACTGCTCCGTACCAAATTAGAATCAAATCCCTAGACCCAAATTTTAACCCCTCTCGTCTTGACCTAAGGGGTCCACACTCTTCATTTATACAATATTAAATCCTATTACATCCTGTTAAATTTGTTAAAATACCTAGTGTTGTTCTAGTCTTGTAGTCCTTCAAGGTAAAAAAAAACAATTATTCATAAGAAAGGGAGTAAATTAAATGTCATTTTTTTATTCAGGATGATCGTTGGAAATGTGAAAAATACTGCTCCCCAGATGCTCTGGCAATACCTGAACTGTCACCACAGGAAGTAAGGACCATGTGGACTTACATGGAGACATGTGGTGACCCCTGTGGGTGTGGAGCCGGAGGGTAGACGACTCTGTCTAACAATCTAATAATGATGATTATATGACCTTGACAGTCAGTCAGGTCCACCTCAGACCACAACATTCAGCTAGTCTCACGTGACATTGAGAAATGGTCAGTTATATGTGACCTTGACATTCAGTTAGTCTCACGTGACATTGAAAATTGATCAGTTATATGTGACCTTGACATTCAGCTAGTCTCACGTGACATTGAAAATTGATCAGTTATATGTGACCTTGACATTCAGCTAGTCTCACGTGACATTGAGAATTGGTCAGTTATATGTGACCTGGACATTCAGCTCGTCTCACGTGACATTGAAAATTGATCAGTTATATGTGACCTTGACATTCAGCTAGTCTCACGTGCCATTGAGAAATGGTCAGTTATATGTGACCTTGACATTCAGTTAGTTTCACGTGACATTGAAAATTGATCAGTTATATGTGACCTTAACATTCAGCTAGTCTCACGTGACATTGAGAATTGGTCAGTTATATGTGACCTGGACATTCAGCTCGTCTCACGTGACATTGAAAATTGATCAGTTATATTTGACCTTGACATTCAGCTAGTCTCACGTGACATTGAGAAATGGTCAGTTATGTGATCTTGACATTCAGCTAGTCTCACGTGACATTGAAAATTGATCAGTTATATGTGACCTTGACATTCAGTTAGTCTCACGCGACATTGAGAGTTGGTCAGTTATATGTGACCTTGAAATACAGTCAGCAACACATGGCACGTACATTAAGCCAGATGTTCAGTGGTAAATCTCAAAACTGGTGACATGAAAGGTCAGATCAAGAGTACACAGTATACAAGTAGGCCGCATCAAGATGGCAACCGTTCAGTATGATTTATGACTTTCATTTATGGATTTTGTTGAGTTCAGTAATGGTAAACTGAGAAAAGTTAGAAGCTGCAATAAATAAACGTTCTGTTGAAGTAATGGTCATTGTTTTTCTTTGTCCCCAAGTGCTCCTCTTCACTCTGTAAAACTTATCATAGTGGATTCAGTTTTGTCATTTCACTGAATCAACTGACTGAAAATCTTAAGAAAATATCTGATATGTTTTTGTTTCAGATAATCCTTTACATTGACTCATCATGATGATGCAAAAGTTATTTTGAAGGGAGGTAACTCTAAAACAAAATGTTTATAATGGCATTGTAGAGTAGCCTAGTATTTTAAACTTTAAGACAGAGACATAACACATGATGTTGTATATTTATGACTTTATTAATGGCAATATCGCCTACTTTAAGGTGCAAAGATTTCAAACTGCATAGTATCACTGTGATTTAATAAGAAATAGTTTCAGCACTGTAACAACATTAGGACTTCAAAGTACAATTGTATCACCAGATAAATAACACAATTAAAATTGCAAATAAATTCTGAAGAAAAATAAACTCTCTGACTGAACAACAACAGCAACATAACAGTTTTACCAGATAAACAAAAACAATCATTTCACTGATCTGTCCCCAGTCTTCCTTAAAAAAGTACGAAAAATGTGTTTTTTTAAACCACTTGAATTGGGTATAGATTAAAAACAAGAGGCCCATGGGCCTAAACGGTCACCTGAGTCCTACAGTATTTAATTTTGTTGTTGAAATATGTACCAATTTGAGTACAAAATAGTTAAGTATAACGTTAACTTAAGTTTGTCAGGACCATGAGCTGATCATTCCTAGACAGAGTTTCAGTTCAATCGGCCCAGCAAAACTTAACTTTAAGTTTGAAATAGTTTTTCAAAATGGTGGCCGTGTCGGCCATATTGGATTTTTGATCGAGCTAAAGCTCAGGTGACCTAAAAACTGATTGCTCATATATACCCTAGCTTGTTCAGAATTTTACAAATCACCTTACTTATTTACTATTTTGTTGCGATGCCTAGTTTGAGTTTCACTGAACATTCACAGAAGAACTTAATAATAAAGATTTCCCACGGTGCAACCTATTATTACTGCTACAACTTCAAATTTTTTTTTGACAATCATATCATCATCATAAATTTTACCAGGACTTTAAAAGTCATTTATCTGGGACTTGGTTGATATATTAACAATAAATATATTAGAAAATGTTAGTCTAATTGAAACTTCTTATAAAAATAACCATAAATAGGTGCAGACAATATAAACAATTCAACCTTTCCTCATACCCACATGTAACTTACATTTGATAAGCAGGTTAAAATTGGTTTTCACCAAAGCTAGCTCAATATCATAAATAAATGAAGACATGCAATGTAATGTACATACATTCAACCATGTCATAACATCAAAGAAAGAACATCACAAACATCAATGGAAAAGTGCTTTCTAATTAAAGCATCAATTTTGTGGTTATATGGTTTTGTAATAATGAATACATGTACATGACAACTATATACTGTACAATATGAATAGATATGGAATAGCGTGTTAGTACTTGTACGTGTACCGTGTAATACATCCTCGATATCCAGGGGTTACCTTCACTCTCTTGTGTTCTCTGCACCCCTGGAATATGTCATAACACAATTGAAGGCTCGGTGAGTGCCACCTTGTGGATGAATAATACAAGTGAAATTTTTATCTGAAACCAAAAAAGTACCTAACCATGTGCCTTTGATGTTGCTATGACACATTCCAGGGGTGCAGAGAATGAAAGTGAGTGCAACTCTTAGAAGTTTGAAGATTCCTGTAATGATTTTCTTCGGCTCACTCCTCTTTTACATACAAAACATTATAGGAGGTATACAAACATGTCCTGGTTTAAGGATATGCTTCTGTGTCTTTTGTTTATGATGAAATAGAAAACACAAAAACTGTGCAACATTTATCCTGATATCTGCAATCATTCAGACAATCGTGTTTATCATGAGACAAGGATACCGGATTTAGTCAATGATCATGTTTATCATGAGACAGGGATACCGGATTACGTCAATAATCATGAAACTGGGTTATGGGATTTAGTCGGGCAGGTGCAAAATAGTAAACCCAGACTGGTTTCATAATGTACCATAGGAAAAACTTGACCAGCTGAAGAATATAAAGTGATTCCTCATGTGGGAAAATGAGATCTCTCAACAGTATACAAACTATTTTATGAAATGTATGATGTTTTTTTTATTTGTAAATATTTCACAAGCTGTTATAATTGTTCAACATAAAAATTGAAACATAAGTCACCAACACCTAAGGAGTAAGACTTACCAATATTACATGTATTTCCCCTATTCAGCCCAACCCCATTTTTCCCAAGGGGAGGAACATCTTCTTGTTAAATCTCCCATGACCCAAAAATATCCCTCTGCCCCCTGGGCCATATCCCCCATTTATACAAATTCTTACCAAGTGAGCAAATAAGGGCAAAATTTCTGTTTTGAAAAAAAAGAGAAATATTTTGATATAGAATAAAACAGTTTTGAGCAAAGATCAGAATGTAAAGAATATAATTCATAGAAAATATTCAGCACTTATAATGTAAGTTTTAGACTGGGATGAAATGAAAGAAGTTATTGGAAAGACAATATTGTTACGTTGTGTATATGTTGATCATTTTTCAAATGATGATATGTTCACAACCTATACAAAAAACACATTTTGAATACAACAACTTCCTGGACCTGACACTGTTAAGAGTATCAGAATCATACAATCACAGTAAAATACCCGGTCTGGGAAAGAGAATTCACATCAAATGATACTTGGGCATAGTTAATGCAGATTTTCGTATCTCAGTAACTTAGTAGTCCAAAATAACTGATTCTCTCCTTTTCAAATTCTTTTGATGGGGCAGAATTATCTCCACCGCATCAATAAAATTTTGAAAGGTGACTAAAAGGTATTTCACACTACTTTCTCAGCACTCAGAAAAAGTAAGTATCATACTCGATTTCAAAAGGATACATGCATAAACATTAATTATTGTAAGTTAATAAGGGCTGATATCATTAAATTTCACATAATTATTGCTTCCAGTTAGTTCCTTGAAATACAGTCAACCTATATACGTATAAGAGTAAATGCACGACAAATAGAAATGCACGACAAATAGAAATAGACAAAGTTCAAATTCTAATCTAGTCTTGATATCATATTTAGTTGAAAAGATCCATAAGATTAGTAAGCTTTTAAATAATAAAAACTAAAATCACAGTCATGACCCCAATCTTCAGAAGCAGGTTGTATTGTAATTTGATTCAAGCTCATTGATTGGCTCGGATGCTATAAAATTTCTAACCAATCACATGTCTCATGATTTCACAGGGTTACGACTGCCAGGACTGCGTTACCGTATATACCCCTGTAATAATTATATATTACTTTTCTATACATCACACTTACAAAATGTTATAATTCACACATACACACACAATACCAGTTTAAATACCCTCGACACAACTTCTGTAATATGAAAGGCTTAATGCAAAGGCAAGTTTAAAGGTATTCTGAAATCCCCATCTGCCTGATACAGTGTGTTTACCACCATTGTTCACAATTACCCATGATGCTCAATGTTTGCATCTGAACCAAGTGTCCACCGTACTCTTATTATGGGAAGACACAGACAGGGTATGATTATCTCCCTTATTTCTCATCTTCACTAGCCAAGTGTTCGCTTCGTATACACTACACTTACCCTTGGTGGATATAGCTGTGTTTTCATAATTCCCTCCACTGCCACCTTGTGGATATACCGAGTTATCGTTCTTCTCCCAATAAACTTTTAACCAATCAGAATGACCGTTACATACACACTCCATCGGCGTGTTGACATAAGAATGTGTAATGCCGAGGCGGAGTATAAATGACAGAGCAATATGGAAACAATCCAAAGGCAGCACACATATTTTCCCAGGTCATCGTTTACATGTGGCATGTAGTCAAAGATTTTCACAAACTGATTTATCACTCCAGAAGTTTCCCAAAAGATTGTGCGCCTATTTTTTGGGGCAAAACACTCTGACATAAATGACAATGTGCTTCTGTACAGGGCGTCACCATTACTGTTTTCCTTCGTCAACAGCGCTATATGTAAGACGCGATTTCATTGGATGCAAGCGATTGGCACTGCACGAAAATTTGAAGGCTCGGTCAACACGGCTGTATCCGCCAAGGGTAAGTGGAGTGTATACGAAGCGAAATCTTATTTCTAAGATTTTGAGCATTTTTCCTGTATTAAGGATATCTGTCAAAGTTAGATTATAAACATGTACATCACTTCATGGAAAGATTTCGGCCTGATCCTCACCAGTCATGGTAACACTAAACTCTCAGAGCATCACATACAATGTTATGTGATACTTATTGTAAATTGACATACTGTACCTAGGCTAACATTGACCAGCAGTTTAGAAAGGCAAGCAATTTAGATCTAAGCGAAAGCATTGGTATTACTGTGGAGGACTCTGTGGAGATTATCGTCGGAGTATTTGTACAAAATTTACTGATATGTTGATATTATAGTCCTATAAGCTATTTATACAACTTAATAGTATGCACATTGGATGACTGGGGTTTTATGATCGATATTTTACTAAAACCACAAATTTCATCATTCCAAAAACGTAAAAAGGAATTTCAATTCTTAGTAAATACATTTCAATAAAATTTCATAAATTTAAATATGCATGGTGAACATTAAATTTCTTTTCTCAGAACTTTAAAAACTTCCCATAAATGTTCAGGGATTTGAGAAAACACATTAAGTTCAGGAAATACATGAGAAATTCTAACAAGAATTTAGTGATATTTTTCCTCATCCTTGTTGATTAGTAAAAACTCTTTTAATGCTAAAAATTATGTTACAGAAAACAGGACTATTTTAAAACTGGTCTGGATTTTATACCAAGTTTGATATTACCCAGTAATACTTCATCTGACGTGTTACAAAGACTACACAATACACTAAACTTGCCTGCTGCTAACCCCAAAACTGCCAGTTTTTGTTCATTTACACTAGAAAAGATGAATTTTAAAAGCTAAGGAGATCTGTCAAATGACATAGTTTAAAAACAAAATGATGGATTTTAACATTCATACAACATCATTCTCTTTGGCCTTGTGTTCGCTGCCAGGCTTGCTGATAGGTTTAGCTAGATTTACAACAGGTTTTTGAGCATACAGTATGGTGGCTGCAGACACAATGAAAATAGCAATAAATGTATAGACGTCAATCTTGATACCAAATATCAACCAGCAGAGAACTGCCGTGAACATTAACTCCAGAGCACTTGCAAATGTCTTCAAAATGGAATTTAAAGATCTTAAAAACAGGCTAGTGACAATACCAATAGCAGCATTATTACACATGATCATGAGAACGCTGGGCTGGGTGAGTGCCGCTATACTTGGTGCAGTGAAGGCGGTGGCTAGCTGGCCCCTGAAGGCCAACACTAACACGTTACACAGAATCGAGTCCAGGTACATAAACACATTCTGCATCATGATGTGCACATCCACACCTTTGTCTTTGAGGAGAAACTCGTTGTAAACTCCTGCGAAACAGGAGGAGAAGATTTGTAACATGATGAGGAAGAGACTTGGGTTAAGGTAAACTGACCAGCTAGATGCTCCTGGCTCTACCTTTGCCTCATGACCATGGCCGTATTCCTTGACCACACACCCAACAGTCAAGAAAATCAGCGACAGCCACTGCATCCTACTCAACTGCTTACTGAAGACAATCTGAAATAAATAAAGACATTGAAATAGAAAAGCAGGTTTTATTGACAAGACCATAGGCAAAGGTACTCTCCCACTACTTTTACCTTTATTTTTGATGGTCACCAAGAGGCCTAAAGGCCTGAATAGCTCAGATCCCAGTCTTAACTTATATTGGAAATGATATATGTATATATCAAGAACAATATAAATATGAGATGAGACCAGGGCAGGTTCAATATAAAAGTCTTGAAATATTTTAACTGTTTACAAATGAGGTCAAAATCCCTTATAAAACATATTTGGAAGAAGCAGCTGTTATTTTTTCTGCCCCTCTGCCGGAAAGGGAGCCACACCTTAAAATGTATACACAAAATGGAGTCCCCTTGGACTAGATTAGGAGGTTTGAATTCATTCACACTTATTGGAGGAGTAGTCTAAATACTGAATACTATTAGTAGTTGTTTAGTTTCCAGTGGCTAATGTTTCGTGTTTAGTTTCCAGTGGCTAATGTTTCGTGTTTAGTTTCCAGTGACTAATGTTTCGTGTTTAGTTTCCAGTGGCTAATGTTTCGTGTTTGTCCCTATCAGAACTACTTTGCAAGGATGAAATTTCACTTGAACACATCGTAGTCAAATGTCTTGGTTACTGGCTACTAAAACACCCAGTCTATAGGGTTAGGTTTATTGTGTAAGCCCATGACAACTGCAGTCATGGACAAGTCCATTTTACAAGGAAGTTTTATTTGCCTTTCAATAAAAACTTGTACAACAGAATGACAGTTGTTTATACAATATGTATTTTAACAACTCTTGTGAGACAGACTTCAAAATCAAAATGGGTGCCAACACTGCCGCACTATGTTTATATAGCTGATTGTACTTTTATTTTGGTCTGTACATGTTCATGGAGATTATAAGTTATGGCTATAACATTCACCGAGTATTTTATTTTGTGTATTCTTTGTGAAGCCCTCCCAAATAATACAGTACTAATTACCAAGTCTGAAGAATGCCTGACAAGGCAGTATGTATACCCTTATTGACAGTGGGGTCATACAAAATATAAACATCCCCTCCATATCAACATACCTGAAATATAACCCCAGTCACAACAACACGGAACTGCAGGAGCAGGAAATACGTTGTTGGGTCATATGTCGCTAGGTTAATGAAACCCAAGTTGTTGTAAAGGCAGTAGAGAGCAGCAGGCACAAAGTAGAAAAGTAATACTGAAATACATAATATACAGGTAGTGGATTAGCTAAATGAAGCTGAAACATGCTATATATAGTCAGTGGATTAGCGAAGTAATACTCTAGAAAAGTAATGCTGAAATATATAATATAGAGGTAGTGGATTAGCTGAATGATGCTGAAACACGCTATATAGTCAGTGAATTAGCTAAGTAATACTCTAGAAAAGTAATTCTTAAATATATAATATACAGGTAGTGGATTAGCTAAATGGTGCTGAAACATGCTATATAGTCAGTGAATTAGCTAAGTAATACTCTAGAAAAGTAATACTGAATACATAATATACAGGGAGTGGATTAGCTAAGTAACACTCTAGAAAAGAAATACTGAAATACATAATATACAGGGAGTGGATTAGCTAAATGATGCTGAAACATGCTACATAGTCAGTGATTTAGCTAAGTAATACTCTAGAAAAGTAATTCTTAAATATATAATATACAGGTAGTGGATTAGCTAAATGATGCTGAAACGTGCTATATAGTCAGTGAATTAGCTAAGTAATTCTCTAGAAAAGTAATACTGAAATACATAGGATAGAGGTAGTGGATTAGCTAAGTAACACTCTAGAAAAGTAATACTGAATACATAATATACAGGTAGTGGATTAGCTAAATGGTACTGAAACATGCTATATAGTCAGTGAATTAGCTATGTAATACTCTAGAAAAGTAATACTGAATACATAATATACAGGGAGTGGATTAGCTAAATGATGCTGAAACATGCTACATAGTCAGTGATTTAGCTAAGTAATACTCTAGAAAAGTAATTCTTAAATATATAATATACAGGTAGTGGATTAGCTAAGTAACACTCTAGAAAAGTAAAACTGAAATATATAATATACAGGTAGTGGATTAGCTAAATGATGCTGAAACAGAATATATAGTCAGTGGATTAGCTAGGTAATACTCAAACATAAAATTCAGTGAATTAGCCACTGAACCAAGTTATTCCACATAGTACAGAGTAGCAATCCAAGAAAATACTGAAACATGATATACATGTAGTCAGTGGATTAGCCTTTACTAAACAAAATCTTCAGTATAGGTAGCAGTGTACAGTAGAAATGGCCCGACTCTGATAAACAAGGCACATGTCGAGAAAATGTAAACACAGCGGATTTACCCTACACAACACATGTATACATGTATATATATTTGTAAACATTTACAATACATATAAAGTACTGAGAAGCGTATAAACCTCTTTTTTCTATGTATGTCACTTGTATGAAAATCATGGTTACCACATCAAAAATTACCAAAAAATGCCAAAAAAAGCTATTTTTAACCCAAAATTTGACCCCCGCAACTAGTAATTTTTTTCCTAAGCTCTGTCTGAAGTTAAAGATTACCTACCTGGTTGCAGAATTATCTGGGTCCCAGTAAAGTTGTAAAACTTGATTTTTTGCAATTTTGCATTGTGTGCGGTTGTCAAAATTTTACCTCCTGTAAAGCTAGCTTTTCATGTGTACGCACCCTTTCAGATTATGGCCAAAATTGTATTCTCGAACCAAAAAAATCTTCTTTCTTTTTTACAAATGTGAAGCTCACATAGCCCATTTCATCATGTGTATACCAATTTTAGTACAGTTTTATTTTTATATTTTTTTTACATATCATTATACAGGGGTTAGCCATTTAACAAAAATATCACCTATGGCCACAACCCTCTACTGTATATACTGCTACCATAGAAATTCATACAGCTCAACCAGTGAATGTTTATGTGTGACGTTTCAAGCACTAGTACAAGATGTATTGTGATGTCACTTTCATCAGACAAATGACCAGTGAAGCGTATGTACACAAAGGTGTATGATGTTAACGAGTTGGCAACAATCAAATTGCCATCAATTTTACTACAGTATATGTGTAAGTTTTAGTTTTTATACCTATACAAATGCCAATCAAACTGATAAGTCAATTCGGCTATGCTTTGTTTAATATCTGGTCATAGATGTACGAGTACAAGCCTAGCTTATGGAAACAATATGATGACATCAGGAGAGTCATAGAAAGATTTTGCCACTCATTATCATTATATAGATTCCTCAAACAGCATTCACAAGAGGAAGAAATTGATGGCACAATGCCCTTCCTAGATACCCTCCTTGTACAGAAGGATGAAGGAACCATTCAAATACTGGTCTTTATAATTAGGAAAAAGATGCATACAGATCAATACCTTAACTCAAGTTTTACTATCTGCTGCACCAGATGTTGGGCCTTATAAGCAACTTGCCCAACAGATGTGATGCAATTGTCACAGAATAACAGGACAAAATGCAAGAGCAGAATCACATTGCAGGAGCAATGAAAGATACAGATCTCTTGAATGGGCCCTGAAAATAATATAATAACCGTGTCAAAGTAAGGGGAAGAACAAGATAAGGCCAAAATAAAAGGTCAGGTGGCCATCCCATATAGAGAAGGTTATCCGAAACCATCCAAAGAATATATTGTGGCCATGAAGCCCTACAAGATGCTTTGTGATATCCTTGTTCACCGGTACCAGGAATGGGTGTACAAAATCAGATGCCAGATCTGTGAAGCACTGTATATTGGAGAAACAGGAAGACGATTTTAGGGCGTAACTTACTGAACAATTTTCCACAATTAAAATGTTTCTGTGGAGGTTTCAAACAATATCAAACTGTATACAAGTAGTTTTATTACCTTGTTTGTACTTATGGATATCTGAGAAAAACTGACCAACTGTATGGCTGAAAAATACAAAATAGTATAATTACGTACCTACTGATTTGTTGGAGCATGCTCATAGATTGTTCTGATTTTGTCATAAAGTCTTGTTGTCATGTACACATTGATATACACATTGCTGCATGGGATGGGTGGTTTTTTTCACGAACACATTTCCCAGCAGTGTTGAACATTCAGACCATACGGGTACAGTGGTTATCATTAATTACATTGTGGTTTGTTTTTGTAATGTTTACCATTATAAGAGTGCCATCAAGACCCTCTCAAACAAAAGAGTTTGTTTCTTAATACCACATTACATAACATTTTATTTAAGAATTCGTAAATGAACTGGGAAGACAAAACCCCTTTTCCCTACCTTTATTGATATGGTCTATACTTTTGAATACAACTGCTGTTTGTGTTTAAGGCGTCCTTATTTTGCAATGTATTTGAGCATCAAAATACTACTCCCATTTGTTTATCAAATCATTGACAAAATTAAAATAATAATAATCTATAACAGGAGCAAGACACTTGGCAATTGGGTACAAAATCTAGGCTTGAGCATGAGCACGGTTTCATAAAAATATAGGCCATATGGTCCTCTTGTATTTTTTAACTCAGAACACTTTTGTTGATCATTTAGTTCATTTCATATTTTTTTTATTTTTCATAAAAATCCTGCTAGGTTTTATTTTCAGAAATTATTTATCAGTCATGCAAAAAAGTTTCCAGTGAAGAACAATTCTTTTGGCAGTGGGTTGCATCCTTAACAGTTATTTTAATTATATACACAAATCTTAAGCTAGAACTCTACTGATACTTACTCCTTTAGGAACACACACACTGACACAATGAGTTTGAGGCATTCTGTCAGCAGCACCACAGCCACTGTGTTGAAGTTGTAGGTATTGTCTTTACTCTTGGAAGCTGTCACTAAGATACCTGCAGAGATACCCAATTACAACACAGGATAAAATGTGGATGCTGAATGGTGTAGAGACACAAAGCATGTGTAATTAAACTGGTACTTTTGAATATATTAGCATTTTATGTGTAACAGCAAAACAGTTGTACATGCCAAATACCAATTATATCAGAGATTGTTAGCTTCTTGTTTAACCTGATATTGTGGCTTATATCGTAACAATTTTGACCATAACATTCTGTTACCATATACCGGTATATCCTCTTGATATTATCTTTCTACAATTTATAGGGCTATAGTCAAAAGTTGATAATTTAGAGAAATTGTATTTTATGAATGATTGCACTGTGCATCCTTAATAGCAAAACGCATTATATAATATAGAGTAACCTCCCCTGCATAGCACATTTTAATGTAATAAATTTGGCCTATTCAGTGCGTCTTTGTTCTTTAATAGTACAATCATGTTAATACAGAAATCTTAGGGCAATTAGTTGGTAAAAAAAACAAACAATCGATGATTAATCTATGTTTTTTTTACCACCATAGCAGATTAGAGCATTACAGTACCCTGGTAGGTCTATATGATAGTCAACATTGAACTTAATCAGACTTTTGTTTTAGTATATATACAAACATGGTAGTGTGCTTCAATGATTCATGTAGTTAGTTTTCAAACAGCGAGTCAGTTTTCTGGCCAAGGGTAAAATGTAAAATATTCTAACAACCAGCATATGTTTGTATTGAAATTGATTTCACACTATCAACATAACGGTATACCTTAAGGTGGCTCTACACATCGTCATCAGCGTCCATTTTCGTAACGTACTTCCGGAAAAAGTACAGCTCGGACTCAATTATCTTGATCGAAATGTGCATGTACACGGTGTCGTCATTTCCCCATTGTGTATCGGGCATTCAATATCGTAGTGCAAATTATAGTTACACCTGGGCCCTTTTCGTTTAAACGGTCAAACCGATCGGACCACTGTTGTTCGTTTATTAAATAAGGTGGGACCTAGTAATCTGATGCTGCTTTCAGGCGAGCTTTGAGAAAGCCTTGCAAGGCCTGCATACACATTTGCAGGTCCACCAGGATTTATACTCGAAATTGTTACATTTATAAACGGTCAAACCGCTTGCTCCGCATAAACGAACAGGCCCCTGGTAAACAATAGAACATGTGCGTGCCGATGATATGTCAACACTCGATATCGAGATTTTACCGGGAAATGTTTAATCACACGTACTTTAGGAATAAATCTTTCCAATTCATAGACATAAACAGACTCACGGGTAGACAGTGACATGAGACCAAACGACCTCAAGAAGGTTATATTGGAAACGCATGGAATGCGGACGTACCGGCCTCACATGTTCATATCGCGTGCTTACACGAGTTCATAAGCTTGAGGTCGTTACGATTTTCGCTGTTACAATTGTGTTTACAAATGTAGTCTACTTACTCTGTGAAAATAATGTTTTGTAAAATATCCAGATACCTATGAAGTGCATGTGTGAGTGCACATGAGAACGGCCTACCATGCGATAGCCTCTGGTCACATATGTACCTGACATGTAATTATAAATATACCGCGAGTTAGCGGACTGTGGAATGATGTCCAAAGTGTATACATGACTGAGGATAATTTGGTTCCATTAAAGAACAATAAATTGATAAATTTTAATATCATATTTTGAATTATTTCCATCATTTTTGTTATATGTAAACAGAGTCAACTGTCTTTGTGTGAATGTCACCCCTCTGCAAAAAGTTCCGATTTTTTTCAAGGAAGATAACTCTCACCCAGATCGAAGTGATTGTAAAATGTAAAATAAATTAATTATAAAGCCATTGTGTATATTTTGTTCAATTTCCCATTCTATATGTATAGATCGTTGTGTCCTGTTTGCTTTTAGCTTGTAGATAATCACTTTTATCCGTACAAATTCGATAAAAAAACACTTTGTGTAACATGTGTTACCTATTTTGCAATTAATAAAATATTTGTAGGGTTAATTAGAAATGCTTCTTTTTATTTTATTTTTGTTGTCATTGTTCCGAACAATGCCACACACACACAAAAACAGAAAATATTAAAATTGACGAAAATTCAATTGTTTGGTATTTTTTCCAAAAAAGTCCCCAAACTATCGGAATGTTTAGATTTTTATAAAATCAACTCTACGTAGTTGCATAACCATTATATGAAAGTTTCAACGAATTTTGCTGGTTAATTGCAAAAGTGTGGAGCCACCTTAAGGACCATTATACTCATTTATATTGAAATTGATTTCACACTATCAACATAATGGTATACGTTAAGGATCATTTTACTCATTCATATTGAAATTGATTTCACACTATCAACATAACGGTATACCTTAAGGACCATTATTCTCATTAATATTGAAATTGATTTCACACTATCAACATAACGATATACCTTAATTAAGGGCTTAAAGTTCAATTTGCTGTTGGGTTATCTTTGAGTTGAAGGAGAATAAAAGGCAGCTAATTTATTAGCTTAATTTATGCCATCAACCCAAAGAAACCTATTGATCTCAGTTTATGATTATACTCCCCTTTTATTAAGGGAATTAACTTTTAAATTACGTTTGTATGATTTTATATTAAAAGGTAGGCATTTTAAATTCAAATTATTTTATATAATCTGATGAGAAACTTTTCTTCTAATTTGATTGGTCAAGCCATATAAGAGAACAATCTTGACACGCATGCACACTTTGTAGCGTCACTTCCAGCTTAAGCAGAAAAAAGTTTCGTTCAGCCTCCACAAGAGAACTTTATTTATCTTATAGTTAATCAATTTCAAACCCACCCTCTTTCCACCCTTCTAAAAGATTTCATTTCTTCATTTTGAATTTGGCGGATTTTTACAACCCCACTATGACTAGAGGTCATAATTAGATAATTAGCAAAACATTGTGTATTGATGTACATTTTGTAATCTAGGTTATATAAGTTAACTTGCAATTGTGATCAAATGTAAGTCATGTTATAATTTGTCATTAAATGTCACCTTCGGTGGCCATTTTCAACTTCCTTAGACCATTATTCCGTCTTTGCGTATTGCAGAGTTATCTTCTCTTGGGAACAGGTATTGAGTGTTACGTCATTGTTTTGTGTGAGAAAATTACGTCGTTTTCTCAAAAATTGATGACGTTACTCTCACAAACAAGTGACGTAACAATCGATCAATACCTGCTCCCAAGAGAAGATAACTCTGTAATACGCAAAAACGGAATACTCATTAATAATTAAATATTGAACATAACGGTATACATCAATGTACCTTAAGGGCTTAGACCATTATACACTCATCAATATTGAATTTGATTTCACACTATTATTTAAATCAAATATGACAACTTGTGTATATCAGATTTACTTATTTATCAAGACTGTAAAATATAACATATATGTATTAAAATACTTAAGTATGTAGACTATATGTCACTACAGTCACTACCAACAAAACACATACACAAAACAACTAAGGTAAATGTATACCTATAACCACATACATTTGTTCTCATATCAATGGGTTTGATTTTTAAATTGTAATTGGCATTTGACAACCATATGTGGATGTTCCTCTCATATCTTGTAAGGAGTACATTATTTACAATTCAAAGTCCACACATCCATAGAATACTTTTGATTTTTTTTTCTCAATAATATTGTACAAAAATGATTAGGAACTATATGCCATTTTTTGTGACTGAACAGTAAACTGAGATAGTCCTTCCTTACAAGGGCAAAAACGTCGCAATAAAAATAAAATAAACCAGAAAGAACATTTATGAAATGTACACAGCAGTTCATTATAAAAATTGTGGATATTCTCAGCCTGTGAGTTTTATGTATAAACATACAGAGAGATATAACAGTTAAGCAAGCTGCTTAATTTCCATCAACCTAAAGTTCTACCTGATATTTTGACTTCCATCAACTATAGTTTTTTAAATATTTTTTCTCAATTAAGTTGGTTGTTAAACAACAAGGCAACCAGGCTATATATCGACATACATATAATTATTAGTTATGTGAATTTCATACCGAAACATGTTCTGAATTTATAATCAAATTGAAAGCTATACAAATAGGTGGTAGGTAAATCTTGTACCCCGGACCCGGACTGAAACCCTGTACCAGGAATAAAAAGATATTTTAATATCTCATTAACGCGATCGTTTATATTTTTTGTAAAAATATAGAATAATTTCAAACAATTTTTCTAAATGTGACAATTACAAAAATGTTTATTCAATCTAATAATTTAGAAATCGATGATAATGTCTATTTCGAGGGGGTAAAACTTGTACGCCGCAGTCAACCGTGAAAATCACAGTTTTTCACATAAAAATAGAAATTTAGGGAAAATTGGTATTGTATGAATGTAATGAGTTGTGCTTCGCAAGATCTCGATGTGAGGAAGCCATGTTGTAGGTCGTGCAGTATTTTGTTGTCTTCTAAGTGTTTCATGGTTGCGCTTGTGATGATGTGTTCTAAGAGTTTGCATGTGCGATGCATGCGAGTGATATTGGTCTGTAGTTTGTTAGGTTGTATTTGTCTCCTTTTTTGTATATGGGGTTAACGTTGGCATGTTTCCAGTCGTTGGGTAGTGTTCCTGTACTGAGTGATGTTTGGAATATTTTTGTAAGTATATAGGTGCTGTACGTGATATCCTCAAGTTCTTTTAGTATTCTGCCGTGTATATGGTCTGGGCCTGTTGCTTTATGTGGGTTTATGTTGTTTAGTAGTTTGTCGACTCCTTGGCATGTGATGTGTATATCTGGCATAGGTGGATGAGGTAATATTCCTTTGTCAGGTATTGTTGTGTTTTGTTCTGGTGTGAAGGCGTCTTGGAACTGTTCATTTAGTATGTTTGCCTCGTTTCTGGGTCTGATGCGAGGTGGCCTTTTTTATGTAGTGCTATGATGTCGGTGTTTTCTTTTTTTGTGGTTTTAATGAAAGGGTAGAGTTTTTTCGGGTTGTATTGTGTTGGGGTCTTCAGGTTCGCCTATTGGTAGGTCTGTGATCATCTTCTCAATGTATTGTAGGTATGCATTGCGTGTTTGTTTTTGCACTTCAGCTTTTACTGTTTTGTATGCTGTGGATAAGTTTGTGATTTGTCCTTGATTTGTGGTGGAGGCGTTTAGACTTGTTTGTGATCAGGCAGCGAAGTGAGTTGTTCATCCAGGGTAGTCTGTGTCTGTATGTTAGTGATTTTATTGGAATGTTTTTTTTCTGTAGATGTGTGGAGTGTTGCTTACCCAAAGGTCTTCTGTGTTTGGATGTTCTAGGTCCTGAAAGTTGTTAATTAGATTAGTGAGGTCTTTCCTGACGTTGTCCCAGTTTGCTTTGTTATATAGGTTAATGTTCCTGGGTGGTTTGCATGTTTTTTGTAGTCTAATGTCTGCTTCTGTATATATGATGTCGTGATCTGCCTTACCTATCAGTGGGACTATTTCTTGTTTATTGATGATGGATGTACGATTTGTGAGTGTTAGGTCAAGGATGTGTTCTCTTGTGGGTTTGTCTATGGTTTGGGTGAGGGAGTTGTCGTCGATGATGTCTAGAAGGCGTTGATGTAGGGTTGTGTCTGGTTTGCCTTGTGTTGTGGTGTTGTTTGACCAATTCATGTGAGGGAGGTTGAAGTCTCCGCTAATAAATGTAATTGTGTTGTTCTGTGTTCCTATTATGTTCAGGGATATTTCAAGTTCTGTGAGTGAATGTCCTTTATCTGATGGTGGTCTGTAGTATGCANCAATTATCGTTTTGTTCTTAAATCTCTCGATCGACTTTCAAAGCCATACTGGCTCCTGTAAAAACATGAACCCGTAAAGCTGTCCTAGGTTGTGATTTTAACTGTGGAACTCTTTTATGCATGACCACGCTTTGTGACCAATTTTCCGGTTTGCACTGTCGTCTGTTTAGGTGTACAAATCATTAAACGGACTCGCAGTAAGTACAGATTACTGTTGATCAACATTGATGCAGTTTGTTTTTTATTATGAATAACATGGTTTTGACAGTCCGTAAACTTTACAGTCCTAAGCTTTATCGTAAATTCTTTTTTACTGATTTCATGCTAGTCTACTTACGAAAGATGTTCATAAACACGGAATGGCGAAATGTCGTACTTTTGCGTTTTATTTGTATCAAAGAATTAACAAGTGAGAAAATGAAATTTGGATACTGCGTTGGATTAACGCTATTGAAACCAATATTTTACTTCGAGGTATCCCAGTTTTTCAACTTTTCAGGGTTCGAATTATCAGAGTTTTATTTACTAAGATAAAGAAAAGATTTGGCCGGGACCAGAGAAATACTTCGAGATAAACGGGGTCTTCGAGTTAAAAGAGTTCGAGATAACGAGGTTCGACTGTACTGTGTTATTGGAAAGTAGTCGTATGATGAAGTTGTGCTATTTATAGACATGTCTCTGTACCTATGATGTCTGGTTTGATTGTGTGGATTACTTCTTCTAAGTCTGGTTTTTGTTGGATATGGATTGGAAGTTAATTATTGTTATGCGTATTGGATTGTCTAGTTTGTTGTGAGTTGCATTGTTGTGTGTTGGTTTTTATGGGAAAGGAAGTGACTGTTGGAGGTCCTGGGCTTGTTGGGTCGTCTATGGAATTTTTCGAGTCTAGTTCTGAAAATCTGTTTGTGGAGTGTATTGATGTGGTACCGAGAAGTGTTGATGAAAAATTTGGCATGCCACATTGTATGCATTCCCATGATATATCCGTGTAGTATTTAATGAAGGATGTTTTCATACCTTGGAAGTTGGTGTGGTACCATGTATCGCAACATATAGCATTTGTTTGCCATGTGACGGCTTTGTTGCATGTTCTGCATGGGTATTTGGGTGCCCTGGCCATGGGCCCTGGGTTTAGTTCAGTGCGGCCCGTTCAGTGTCTGATAATATTGCGAGTAGGAGAATGAAAGAGTAACGTGTGGTTGCATGTTCAATTACCTTGGTTTATAAACAATGCCATATACGATATGAATATGACGAAGCTGAGCTTCGTTGGAAACAATTCTTCTGAAAACAACCCCATGTTTGCGGCTTCCTCATTAATGGTGAATGAACCCTCCTCGCAAGTGTCTTCAACCCACTTCTGTGTCGGGTCCGTCTGTGTCAGCAGCAAAGTTGTCTGAAATAAATCGGAATCAGTAAGGCGCTTCTGAGTCATTTGGCAAAAGTTAGAGTGACCTCCCCTTTACCATAGTTCATGAAGTCGTTTTCCCCCGTTTTATGTTTTTTTGCTCAAAATGGCATTATCTTTTACAAAAAAAATCAATTTTAACTATATGAAACGACTGTCCTCTTTTTTCAGGATTTTATAAGCTCTAATAATCATAATATTTCAGTTACATCATGTTTAAAATCCCATAATTAAAAAAGTTAATCAGAGATTAATATTTCTATATAGGAATAGTAGTTGTTTGTCTTTCGAATCAAGGAAGACCTTGTGCTCTGCGCTAGTGCTAGTTGGTATGAAGGACTGTCAAAAAAAACTTAAAAATAATCTACAAGTGTCACAAAACAAGGTGATAAGATTGATATTAAATGTACATAATAGACACAGTTTGTCATACCAATATTTTAGTTGTGTACACATGTTGGATATCAATACCAGGGCAAGGCAACTTAGGTTGAACCATATGTTCAATATTTTCCATGGAAAGGCTCCTCAATATATGTATCAATTTTTTAACAGGAATCCATGTCCGTAAAGTACTCGCTCAAATCTATGTAATTGTATTGTTCCTAATGTAAAAGCTTCTGAATCTACAACTTTTTATTTTTCTGGTACCAAAGATTGGAATTCACTTCCTGAAAACATCAAAAGTGAAAATAATAAATTCACTTTTAAAAACAAAGTGAAGAGTCATATACAGAAGCTTATGAAAGGAAAACGAGAAAGTGAATATGTGTACTTTTAATATGATTCTATGTTTTAGATTATTGAATATGTTACTGTATGTTTCACATTCAAACAGAAGAAAAGTATTATTTGTACTTTTAAACTGACGTATATATCAAATAATGTATAACACCAATACTCAATTTTAAAATTGTACTCAGGGGCGGGTCCAGGTGAGGACGTAATGGGCGTACGATTTTGGTCCTTTCTTGAATATAGTTGTAATATTGGCCTCCTTCCAAGCAGATGGTACTACACTATCTTTCAAAGATCGATTTAAGATTATACTTAATGGTTTGTATATAGCTGAATATAATTCTTTCATAGCCTTAGGGTGCATAGGATCTGGTCCTTGGGATTTACTACAATCCAGCATTCAAAGTAGTTTACCCATGCTTTCCTCCGTACATATAGGGTCTTCAAATACCTGGGTTACACATTTATTTTCCATATTTGGTATGTCACCTGTAGGTTCACACTACTGGAAAAACTTGTTACAACATCGGCTTTATCTTTATCGCTTGTTGCAACTTGGAACGTGTCTCCATGGACCGAGTCCTTTCAAATCCGAAATTCCTGTTTTAACTTTCCGTTTTGAGTTTATATACTTCCAGAATTGTTTGGGGTTAGTCTTAATATTTGCCGCAATATCCTTTTCCATATCACGCCGAACTTTCCTCAGCGTAGACTTCACTTTATTTCTTAGCTTTGCATATTCTTCGTATTGGCGTCCGATCTAGTTTCCATATACCACTGCCAAGCCCTACTGTATGTTTTTTTATTGATTTTCCTCCTTGCACCTTCGTTCAATGGAGTAAACTTTCGGTCTTTTATCTCTAGTGACCTATTTCCTGTAATTAATGGTACATTTTTACTGACACTATCTACTTACATATCACTATCATCACCTGTCAATACCTTGTCCCATTTGACCTTCTCCAGTTCTTTACTCATACTCTCATAGAGTCCTCTTATGTCTTTTATTATTTCATCCTTGGGCTCGCAACCCACTCTCATTCTGGTGAAGTTCCTTGTATGTTGTGTCAAAAAGTTATCTCCTAGACATACTATAACATTTTCGCTCTCTTGATCATTTCTTGCTGACTGTGAATTCCAATCAATTTTTGGGAGGTTGAAATCACCCATAATCAATATATGAGTGTATTCTTTTGTTAACATTGTTACAGAGTTTAAAAGCTTATACATTTCTTCGTTTAATATTTCTTATTATTCGTACCTGTATTTTTGTAATTCCAAATAATATTGTATCACCAATAATATGTTTTAAATATGTATAAGATTATATTTACATTTCCACTGTAATTAAGTTCCTGAAGTTCAAGAAATGGCGTTTATTTAGGACCATTTTACAGGCCACCTTCCGCCTCGATTTACCCGAGCCAATTGTTAGAAGCAAATGAACTATTTTGTTCCAGTTATTTCGTTTGCCCTGACGACAGACACTTCGATATCTAAAATATAGGAATTATATGTATTAAGGTCAACATATATAATCACTTAAACATATAAGGTTGGAACGGATTTTTTCAATTTCATGCTGGTATATACACGAAGCCGTTTCCCAACCCTTACGAGGTTACATGTACACGAAGCCGCTTCCCAACCTTTACGAGGTTATATGTACACGAAGCCGTTACCCAACCTTTACGAGGCTACATGTACACGAAGCCGCTTCCCAACCTTTACGAGGTTACATGTATATGTACACGAAGCCGCTACCCAACCCTTACGAGGTTACATGTACACGAAGCCGCTACCCAACCCTTACGATGTTACATGTACACGAAGCCGCTACCCAAACCTTACGAAGTTACATGTACACAAAGCCGCTTCCCAACCCTTACGAGGTTACATGTACACGAAGCCGCTACCCAACCCTTACGAGGTTACATGTACACGAAGCCGCTACCCAACCCTTACGAGGTTACATGTACACGAAGCCGCTACCCAACCCTTACGAGGTTACATGTACACGAAGCCGCTACCCAACCCTTACGAGGTTACATGTACACGAAGCCGCTACCCAACCCTTACGAGGTTACATGTACACGAAGCCGCTACCCAACCCTTACGAGGTTACATGTACACGAAGCCGCTACCCAACCCTTACGAGGTTACATGTACACGAAGCCGCTACCCAACCCTTACGAGGTTACATGTACACGAAGCCGCTACCCAACCCTTACGAGGTTACATGTACACGAAGCCGCTACCCAACCTTTACGAGGTTACATGTACACGAAGCCGCTACCCAACCCTTACGAGGTTACATGTACACGAAGCCGCTACCCAACCCTTACGAGGTTACATGTACACGAAGCCGCTACCCAACCCTTACGAGGTTACATGTACACGAAGCCGCTACCCAACCCTTACGAGGTTACATGTACACGAAGCCGCTACCCAACCCTTACGAGGTTACATGTACACGAAGCCGCTACCCAACCCTTACGAGGTTACATGTACACGAAGCCGCTACCCAACCCTTACGAGGTTACATGTACACGAAGCCGCTACCCAACCCTTACGAGGTTACATGTACACGAAGCCGCTACCCAACCCTTACGAGGTTACATGTACACGAAGCCGCTACCCAACCCTTACGAGGTTACATGTACACGAAGCCGCTACCCAACCCTTACGAGGTTACATGTACACGAAGCCGCTACCCAACCCTTACGAGGTTACATGTACACGAAGCCGCTACCCAACCCTTACGAGGTTACATGTACACGAAGCCGCTACCCAACCCTTACGAGGTTACATGTACACGAAGCCGCTACCCAACCCTTACGAGGTTACATGTACACGAAGCCGCTACCCAACCCTTACGAGGTTACATGTACACGAAGCCGCTACCCAACCCTTACGAGGTTACATGTACACGAAGCCGCTACCCAACCCTTACGAGGTTACATGTACACGAAGCCGCTACCCAACCCTTACGAGGTTACATGTACACGAAGCCGCTACCCAACCCTTACGAGGTTACATGTACACGAAGCCGCTACCCAACCCTTACGAGGTTACATGTACACGAAGCCGCTACCCAACCCTTACGAGGTTACATGTACACGAAGCCGCTACCCAACCCTTACGAGGTTACATGTACACGAAGCCGCTACCCAACCCTTACGAGGTTACATGTACACGAAGCCGCTACCCAACCCTTACGAGGTTACATGTACACGAAGCCGCTACCCAACCCTTACGAGGTTACATGTACACGAAGCCGCTACCCAACCCTTACGAGGTTACATGTACACGAAGCCGCTACCCAACCCTTACGAGGTTACATGTACACGAAGCCGCTACCCAACCCTTACGAGGTTACATGTACACGAAGCCGCTACCCAACCCTTACGAGGTTACATGTACACGAAGCCGCTACCCAACCCTTACGAGGTTACATGTACACGAAGCCGCTACCCAACCCTTACGAGGTTACATGTACACGAAGCCGCTACCCAACCCTTACGAGGTTACATGTACACGAAGCCGCTACCCAACCCTTACGAGGTTACATGTACACGAAGCCGCTACCCAACCCTTACGAGGTTACATGTACACGAAGCCGCTACCCAACCCTTACGAGGTTACATGTACACGAAGCCGCTACCCAACCCTTACGAGGTTACATGTACACGAAGCCGCTACCCAACCCTTACGAGGTTACATGTACACGAAGCCGCTACCCAACCCTTACGAGGTTACATGTACACGAAGCCGCTACCCAACCCTTACGAGGTTACATGTACACGAAGCCGCTACCCAACCCTTACGAGGTTACATGTACACGAAGCCGCTACCCAACCCTTACGAGGTTACATGTACACGAAGCCGCTACCCAACCCTTACGAGGTTACATGTACACGAAGCCGCTACCCAACCCTTACGAGGTTACATGTACACGAAGCCGCTACCCAACCCTTACGAGGTTACATGTACACGAAGCCGCTACCCAACCCTTACGAGGTTACATGTACACGAAGCCGCTACCCAACCCTTACGAGGTTACATGTACACGAAGCCGCTACCCAACCCTTACGAGGTTACATGTACACGAAGCCGCTACCCAACCCTTACGAGGTTACATGTACACGAAGCCGCTACCCAACCCTTACGAGGTTACATGTACACGAAGCCGCTACCCAACCCTTACGAGGTTACATGTACACGAAGCCGCTACCCAACCCTTACGAGGTT